GTGTTCATTCTCAGGAGTTAAAGATAAATATTTCTGATTGTGTGTGATGCTGAGCTTCACTTTTTTTTCTGGAGTTACTTGCTATCTACACGAGAATTTAAATTATCGGCAAATTGTCTAATAAGTTTGGAAAGCCTCAACATACCAGTTGTAGAAGTCAGAAAGAATATATTCGAATGTTTGAATGCAAATTTGTATATATCCTGAAGAGTTGGTCAGATATTAAAGAATGTGACAGATGTGGAGAGTCATCAGTGTAGCACATCCCAGATGAGGATCTATGAGGGAGGGATTGCTTTGGCTGGGACCAGGATGAGGATGCCTCTGTGGGAGGCAGAGCTCACCAAGTCTCAAAGGACTCATGTGGAAGAGAAACCATATGAACGTAAGAATTTCTGAGGTTCTTATTCACAGATTATAATTTTCATAGTATAAATGAAACCATTCTAGATATCGTAAGTAACTTTCTGTGATTTTTCACACACAGTCATCAAGAAAGGCTCCAGTGTCAAGATAGTTGAGCCCTTTTGGAATACAAAATAGTCCACAATGGGAATTTAAAGTATCAAAGCAGTGGAATATTTTTGAATTCTAAAAATAAGCAGATTTTTTAACCTAAAATTTGCATTAAGAAGGGACTCCCAATTGGAAATCACATAGTCACCATCAGATAGTTCATACTTGAGTAAATTTTGTGAGTAGAAATGGAGGTAATTCAGGTGTATCTTTGAATCCCAATTATACCTTGGTCAGTAGAAAAAAAAATCCAAGAAAGGCCTCAAGGCAACAGTCAAATTCAGGGAGAGATAGGCTTCAGGGAATAGAAATTTATTTACTAGTAAACATGAGTTATACACAATGTAATTGAATGGTTTAGGGGAGGTAGATTACCACTTGTGAAACAAAATTTGGATTTCCTTGTAGGAAAAGTAAAAATTCTTAGACTATTATAAATCTAACCTGAAGTAAGAAAGAGTCACTTATTAAAAATGCAAATTGAATGTACTATGCTAATACTCCAGTTGAATGGGTGAGACTTTAAAAGTTTCAAATGAACTCCTTCAATGAATGATGAATGAGTGATAAATGAAAACTTAGGTAGTATTCATACATTACAATAAACCAGTATGTCATGGAGGGAATTTTGGAACCTGTGATAGTTAATGGAACACACCTTCAACATGAATTTGCACCTTACCAGAAAGAATTAATTCAGGGATTCCTATGAGTGGGAATGTTGGGGAGGAGAGCATCTTATTACAAGAGCTAAAATGCTAAGTAGCTACCATTAATTGAAAGAGAGTAGGAAATCTATGTTTTTTTTACACTCCTGTTAAGTGTTTGTTTTGGAATTTGTTGTAAAGATTTCATACACACATATGTACTGTATATTGTTTATTGTAAAATATGAATACTTTGTTCAGGGCTCACTCTCTCTTTGTCATAAAGGCCAGATAGTTGAGGCAAGGTAAGGTGGAACTCCAATAAAGAAATTCTTCAAATGTTAAAAAAAGAGAATGCTTATCATTTCACGTCTAAAGTTCCAGAGCAGAGTGAAATATACAGCATTGTTAATTTGATGACATGATTATGCCATCATAGAAACATTTTCAATCTCTCCTCCTTTTTTAACATTTAATAGAATGTCCTCAGCATATGAACTTTATTCCTTAATCTTGTCTTTTCCTGGTTACAAAATGACTGCTGCTTCTCCAAGCATCACTTTTACACAAAATTAAAAAGCTGAAGATAGTATGTCCATTCTTTATACCTGATAAAGAAATAAAAATGAAGAACATATTCCTATGACTTTATTAAAGACTTATTCTTGCTTTCATAGTCCAAGACTGCATATGTTGCCTTTTCCTAGGCAATTGAGTCACCCATCCACACAATCTGTGTGCTGTATATTGTACTAATTGATAGTACTAGATGTAAAGTTCTGTTCTCTTGCCAAGAACGATAATCTCAGCAGCTCTTCCCCATGCACCAGCTACTAAACAGATCAGGTATCAAATAACTAGCTATAAACTGTAGTTATCCAGGAAGAAAAATACATCCTAACCAGGGAATTTAAGGCTGTATCTTCTAATGAAGATGATAAACATCTCTGGCTTTTTTCTACTCCTTTTCCATCTTAAATTGCTATCTAGCTAACTAAAATACAATTTGGTTGTAGAGCTGAAAGGAAACTTGAAATTTGCATTTCTGCCAGACTTCTAACAAAGTAAATTGACCTTATACTTGATTTTCCATTGCCCCAAATAATAATCCTCCTTCACATAGACACCCTTGGGCACTTTCAGCTCATTGCTTCTTCTTATGAAACAGGTCACTGTATCTGTGTAGACTGGTGTAGATACATTGCCAACATTTTATTTCATTCGAAGAGGAAAAAAATAGTGAGCTGGAAATGTTTGAAACTGGCTGTAAAATATTACATATAATAATAATTTGTTTTATATTTATATGAGCCCTACATATCTTCCCATTGATCAAGTTTAATCTCATGGTACATCCGTATCTGTGAGTGTTGGAATCAAGAAGTCTTACATTTATCTAATGAAACGTATTTATTGGTTTAATTTGTTAATCATTCCTAAGTTATAAGTAGGACCTTTTAATTTGACATTTGAAAACATTTGTATTAATAATAGCAATTTAAAAAATCTTCCTACTTCTTAAAATTTGACATTTATATAGTTAATGCATATTTTTTTCTCTCTTATTACAAGTTATTTCCTTAATTTTATGGCTCTGGGATAGCTGCCAGTGACTTACTGCCTTAAAAATGATGATGTTGAGAAAGAAATGATTATGTTTTATATTTAGTTAGATTTATTAGGGCTGACTTGGGTTTCGTGCTCTGGCAAATGAGTTCACACTAGAGCCTTCTGAAAATTGTTAGGTCTCTGGTTAAAGTTTAAATTTCACCACTAGAAGGTTACCACATTTTATGAACTGTAACCCTTGAGATATAGACACAGATACAGATACACACACACACCCACACACACTTGACACTATGACTTGGATTTAGACTGTAGCTCACATTCAAGTACTGATGGAAAAATTAATCCTTAATGCACTTTTCATCCTTCTATTAATATGAGAGTGAAATTTCAACAAATAATAAGTTATTATTCTTTCCCCTTCTGTCCTACAATTATGCCCTTTAAAAAGTATCTAGCCTTTCTAGTATCTTTCTGATCTATTTTTGGCTCAATTGTGTTAAAAATTCAATTTTCCAGGTACAGGAAAATCAGCCATATTTATAATTGAAATTTATTCTGTAAAATAATTTTCTGACATTACATCTTTTATAACTTGTGAATACTGAAGCTATTTAGTACATACATTGCTCAGCACACTTGGCTGCAAGCAACATAAATAAAATTTACAGTGTTTTATTTACTGGTTTACAAAGTGACATACTGTAGAGAAATACCTACTTCAGGTATAGCTATAGCCAAGAACTGAAACGGGTTCACTAGGAATTTTTCTCTTTCTCTGTTTTTCTCTGAGTTTAATTTTTTCCTAATAAATTATTTCCTTTTTGTAGCCATAAGCATCAATCACCTTATATCCGGGCAATTCCAAGTCCAACAAAGACAAAGTGTTTTTTTTTAATCCTGCATATTCTCAGTAAAAATCACAAAATTAAATTCTGTGACCAGGGCCTCACTGATCTCATCCTTGACCTAATCTCTATGTCTAGAGAGGGTTAGAATGTATCAGTGGTTGAGAAGAATGTTCTATGCATAATCCCCACAGTATCACTGGAGATCTTGTTAGCAATGCACATACTCGGGACCCATTCTTGACCTAGTGAATCAGAAAACCTAACAGTGCAATTCAGCAGACTGTTGAAGCCTGTCTCACCAGTGATTCCAGTGTGTGCTCAAGTCTGAGACCAGCTGCAGGAATTATTCAGCCAGGCCCAGGTTATGTGTGTGCACCAAGATCTGCAGTGCAATGTTGTCCTGCAGAATCTCCACAGGAATGAAATTTGAGGAATGGACAGCCCAAAGGGGAAGAGCAGATCGCACACTGGCACAAAAGAGAAAGGTCACAATGATGCCATTCCAGCTCAGAAATAAGGTTTTCCCTTGTGCCCAATGCCATTATTTCTCAAAACACTATTAATTATGAGTTTTCCAGGAAATAGTATTCTAATTATGCAAATACATTTTCATCCCCCTTTAGGATAATAGTGACTTAATTTAAATTTTCTATCTGAATTGGTGGATGGCCAATCTTGGAAGATTTCCAGATCATATTATTTTCTTATCAAATGCTTCCTGAACTCTCAGAGATAGTCTAGCGCTGTTATAGCACTCAGAACGAGTCTTATTTCTCCTCTGTGATAAGTAATAGAGGAGATTCACTCTGCTTCAAAACTTCTCAGTGAAACTAGCAATAATACCTACAGAAATTGGGGAAAAGTAGTCAACACTGCAATATTATCTAAAATAATTTTTTAAATTTATATGAAAGTACCTAATAAGGAATGTGGATAATTTTCATATGACTTGTGATGTTTTTATTGTTTTTTTCCCACTTGATTTGGGATATTTGCACTTTACGGGGGGAGGCAATGGAGTGTGTGTCAGTGTATTTCAATTTCTCTGTCAAGAATCCTCCTGGCCTTGTTAAAAATCTAGATCCCAGGATCTCTTTTGTGATATTCTTATTTGGGAGGTCAGGGATGGGAGCAGAAGAATTTGTACATTTCATTATTGTCTCAGAATTCTTATGATGAGACCTGTTTGGAACAGATTCTGTACTGGTGAAGAGTGGGGATGCCGGAGTCCATTGGTATAGGACCGTATCACAGCAGAAGCTCTTGCTAGCTGAGGTAGCTATTTAAACCTCAACAAGCCTCCAGTGTTAGCTGCCATTATTACCCTTTGCTTTTATGGTTTTCTTTTTTTATAGTTTGCTTTTTATTTTCTTTCCAATAATCTGTCTGTTTTGTCTTCTTGATTCTTTTGCTGCAGATAGAGGACATGCAGTGGGGAAAAGGAGTCCGAGAGATCCCACCCTCTGTGTGCACGTTGCCCTGCAAGCCTGGGCAAAGGAAGAAGACACAGAAGGGTACACCTTGCTGCTGGACCTGTGAGCCTTGTGACGGGTACCAGTACCAGTTTGATGAGATGACATGCCAGCATTGCCCCTATGACCAGCGGCCCAATGAAAATAGAACTGGCTGCCAGAATATCCCTATCATCAAACTGGAGTGGCATTCCCCCTGGGCCGTCATCCCTGTCTTCCTGGCAATGTTGGGGATCATCGCCACTATCTTTGTCATGGCCACTTTCATCCGATACAATGACACGCCCATTGTCCGGGCCTCTGGGCGGGAACTCAGCTATGTTCTGTTGACTGGTATCTTTCTGTGCTACATTATCACTTTCCTGATGATAGCCAAGCCCGATGTGGCCGTGTGTTCCTTCCGGCGTGTTTTCTTAGGCTTGGGTATGTGCATCAGTTATGCAGCCCTTTTGACAAAGACCAATCGGATTTATCGCATATTTGAACAGGGCAAGAAATCAGTGACAGCTCCCAGACTCATAAGCCCAACGTCACAGCTGGCAATCACTTCCAGTTTAATATCAGTTCAGCTTCTAGGGGTTTTCATTTGGTTTGGTGTTGACCCACCCAACATCATCATAGACTATGACGAACATAAGACGATGAACCCTGAGCAGGCCAGGGGAGTTCTCAAATGTGACATTACAGATCTCCAAATCATTTGCTCCTTGGGATATAGCATTCTTCTCATGGTCACATGTACTGTGTATGCCATCAAGACTCGGGGTGTACCAGAGAATTTTAACGAAGCCAAACCCATTGGATTCACTATGTATACGACATGTATAGTATGGCTTGCTTTCATTCCAATTTTTTTTGGAACTGCGCAGTCAGCGGAAAAGGTAAGTGAAAATGCACATCATATTTTGGTCTTTCAAAAATGTGTTTGTTTTGGGGAGTACTGAAATTAAGTTGGTTGCATAAAGTAAGAGGTTTTATATGTGAAGAATATTGCCAAGAGTAGATAAACCCTGGATGAAAAAGCACAAATGCTATAGAAATCTAAACTTTACAGTGAACTGTATTATATTCAGGCCACTAAAAACCAACCAAAGTTAGATGTTTCAAGTTAGTTATATTTACTTTAGCATTACTCAATGTGAGATTGTCCAATATAAAATGTTTAATTCATTTTAATTGAATATTTCTATTCATTCACCAAAACCTCTGATTACACACATTTCTTTGGAATAGAAGATGACCACAGTACCTATTTTCCAGGTAGCTATGTATGATGGTCATTAACAACATCACTATAGATGCTCTTTTTCTTCTTAGTGGATATATAGGCCATCACTAAAGATTATATCTAGTATGTGAGCTACATAGAATATTAGAGTTGCCTAATTATGCATGCACAAAGTATGCAAGATAGGTGAATAGAGCTTTGGTTATCATACCACTCTAGGCTCCTTACAGCTAGAAATACATGAATCACAGCCACTGATTTATAGTGAGATTAGAGAGAGAGAGAATATCGTCAAGATTTGAAGTTTCCAAAGTTCATAGGTCCCAGTATGTTGGTCCATGATTTAGCTAATGCACATGCCCCCTCACAGTCTTATAAATTTGTGAGTCTATAAACTAGGAAGCCCTAATATGTTGATTTCTCATGCAGCTAATGTACGTTTAATTGTAGGTGTGACATGCATATTAATGAGGCAACCCTGTAGTATTGATTTTAGACGTGATTCATACTCAGCTGACTCATGTGTTTACCCATCCAGCTATAGTTTCATGTATAAGCAAATTGGACAAGCCTAATATGTTGATGCTAATTAGATGTGGAGTCCTTAATGGATATAAACACCTCAGTTTGGTGCAACTGACAACAAAACTGAGGGGTGGAATCCTGCTTGACACATTATGTAAGAGAGAATCTTATTATAGGTAGATTAGATGTTAGGACATTGAGAGCAGATCTCTTAAATGTGTAGAGGCTTAGGGTCTTAAATGGGAAAAATAAGGATTGAAATTGAAATGTCTAAAAATGTATGAGAGTCTGTACTTCTAGGAATTAATTGAATCTGATTTTTATTGTTACCTGTTCTTGCATAAAGGATTAAAGGCATTTAGCTGGTTTTTCCAACTAAAAAGATGTCTTTTTACCAAAATTGTTTGATTTAGAAGCTATAAGTTTGGACTATGTTTTTAAGTGAATATTTCATGAGATCATGCAGAATTCTAAAAGCAAGGAAAGCTAATGATTCCAAATTACGGTTTTAGTTATAAAATGTCTTAGAGGATGTTCATCTAACCTATATGCTCAACAAGTATAGTATGTCTCTAACAATATGCTTCAAATTCATAATCCGTACTTATTGTCTGTGAAACCAATTTGAATTTCATTTAATTTCTTCTATCCCTGGGCCAAAGGAATAGTAAAATATGAGTTAGGGTCATGAAATGCAATAGAGAAAAGAAAAAAATACCTGCAAATGTACACTTCTAGGTTGATAACCACTGAATTTTTGGAAGATGTGGAGGTATTTTCAGAATCTATGGAGTTATTTTGTTATTAAAACAAATATCACCCAATCCAACAAGTTAAAGAAATTAATTGTATCCTGTACATTTATTTGTGAGAAATATAAAAGGGAAAACTAATTGCAGTGGTTTTATAGGTGAGTCTTCTTGGACATTTGACAATATATGTCTCTCTCATTTCGTTTTTCATTTTCTCACGATTTCCAGTCAAAACGATGGGTCTCATCCAGAAGGTCACATATACAATTCATTCATTCAAAAACCTGAAATTGACACAGGGTTTCAGTAATTGCATTCACTGATTCCAGTTGCTGTGGATACAGTGCACTGACAGAATTGGACAGTGGAAAAAAAAGATATCTTTAAGCAGTGTTTTTTATCCCAGATTTTGAGAAAATATGTGTTTCTTTGCATACTTTGGACTGGTTATATTGTTTTACAAGCTTTATTGGCACAAGTAAAGCTACTGAATTTCCACATGGGAACAGTGAATTCTTATATGAAAATGTACACACTAATGATAGGCATATGGATAAAGATGAGTGATCAATTAAAAATATCACTTTGTGTACATGAAACCATGACATTTAAATTGTGGAAAGAGGTAAATTGCCAAATGAAATAAGGAAATAATGGCTAAATAAATCCTTGCCAAGCCAGCAACAATCTACAGAATCAGACTTTCCATTTGTGTTTAAGTCTAACAGTTTAAGTGTTTGAAATGGATAGATTCCATTGTAAAAAATAAAGATTGAGCATTGAGTTTACCAGTAACTATTTACTGTTTTGGAAAATAAATTTTGATTATGTAAGAATATCTTTATGAAATTTCCTCATTGGTTGAGTCCATTAGCATAGCACAAAAAATAAGTTTCGTGGGTATAACTCTACAGGCACTTGCACATGAAAGAAAAGACACATACTTCAGGTATGGATAACACAGGCTACTCTGCCAAAATCTGAGTAACCATAGATAACTCCTTCACCCAAAGATTTTTAGCCAGTTGTTGTGGAGGACTTTCCAGATAAGGCAGTACTATCACACACTGTATAATATTTCAGTCAATAATGAACTGGTGCCTAAATGACAGTGGTCTCGTAAGATGGTATTGTATAGTGATGTCATAGTGATCTTAGTTGTGTAAATAACCTGATGTTTGTACAATTGTGAAGCTCCTTAATGCTGTATAGCCTAGACTGCATCCCTCTCATCAAGTGATGGTATGATTGTATATAATTCCTTACAGATGTGCAGGGAAACAAGCTTTGCACTAATGGGCCCTGCATAGGGGAAGTGAAGCTTAGAATGAAAGGCGTGGGATCTGAGGTTGTCATAGTCCTCCTTTATGCATTTTGTAGTTGTTTTGATAGAAAGATAGTGAGGAAAGGAAAAAGAAAAGGGTTGAAGCAATTGAGAAAAAAAATATCTGCAAAAGAGTACTGGCTTCAATGAAGTAATATCTATTCAAACATGGTCCATGTGAGCCATTCTTTGTACAAAAGACAGAACCAGTGTGCATTATAAAACTTAAATAATAGGATTATTTGATTTTCATTGGAGTATTACTCCAGTAAATGATAGAATTAGAGCAACTTGGTGCTAAATCTCTGAACCAACTCTGAGTCCTTAATTCAGTGAGTCTCAAAACTGTGCCCATGATAATGCCCTGCGGAATTATCAAGTGAATGAATAGTGCTAGAATGGAGCATAGAACTTTACATCTTTAAACAAGCATGCTGGAAAAATGCTACTGGAAGCTATGCATACTTTTAAAACTTGTTTAAATACTTTGTTCTCGGCCACAGAGAATGGGATATTCTATAAAGATTCCTTTGTTTTATACTTTTAGAGCCTTTGGGAATAAATTAATTCCCATCCCCAACAAATAGATGTGGAGATTAATGAACCAGGATTTTAGAAAGATACCATACGAGATCAAAGACAAAGTCAAGGATGCAAATATCCTGATGAAATATTAACTGCAAGGTTTGGGCCCAAGACTATAAAAACCCAGCTCCAAGGCTCTGGTCCTGGGACCAGAAATAGCAGTAGGACAGGCAGATAGGGGTATTTCTCATAAGTATTTCTTGAGAAAATGAGAATAGAGGTTATGATTTTATCATCCACATATATGAGATGGCATCCCAGAATATGAACACAAAGTAAAGCCTACCTAAAACTAATATAGCCATGTCCAAGGCAGACAACACTGACCAATTATGGAACACTTCTTCAGAACACTTCTTAATATAGTCTTTAGGCAGCCACTCTCAATAATTCCGAATTGGAAAGAATTTGAAAACAACGTGCCCTTCCTGATTTACTTTTGGGTTCGAACAAATGACCCTGGATATTTCTTCACATTCAGTTCTTTGCTGTTAGTATAATAATACCAGCAAATGGTTTTCATTAAGATTAGTCTACTTAAACATAAAGAATAGTTAGGGGAAAAGGGGTATACTTTGTATTTATTTTGTCTATGATTATATCCCTCTTTTTAAAAACTCATCAAGTGTTATATAGAAATGACCGATTCTCTTTAGAAGTAATATATTAGTTTATGTTCCTGCCCTATTTTTTCTCATGGTCTTTTATTTTATTTTATTTTATTTTATTTTATTTTATTTTATTTTATTTTTGGGGACCAGAGATCAAACTCAGGACCTTGCACTTGCAAGGCAGGTGGCAGAACCACTAAGCTAAATCCCCAGCCCCTTTCTTGTGGTCTTTTAGAAATTAAAAATGACAAAATATCTACTATACTTCTCAAGGACTGTCATTCGGGTGTGAAAAAGACACTGACATTGTATGTTAGGAAATCAAACACTAGTGATCAATGTAGGTCTTCAAATAAGCATCAAATACTGTGAAACATGCTACAGTTGTACCACAAAGAATGAAGAACAGATACAGGAGATAGCTCCCCCTTAGTGGCATGGAAAATGTAACAAGTGGACTGAACTTAACTAGCAGAGAAAGTGATGTGACAATCCAGTAAGAAATAGTGTAACATATAAAAAAGTGGTGGGCAGTGTTTCCAACACATGGCATATAGAGAAAGGAGACGGATATGCACTTAAATGATTTTGACTCTTGCAAGTGTGAGACAGTGTAGCAAAAAAGATTAATATAACTTCATCTTATGAGCAAATTGTGAAACAAGGAAAATCCCAAGGTTTCACTCCCAAGTTAAACTTTTGGCAAGAATTACATCTTTTGGGGCTGGGGATTTAGCTTACCCGCCTTGCAAGCACAAGGTCCCAAGTTCGATCTGCATTACAAAATAATAATAATAATAATTACATCTTTTCAATACTATGGGCCAAATGAATTGTAAATATTACTGCTTCTAAT